TTTAACCCATTTCGTGACAATGTCAGCCACCGGTGGCTGACAAAGCTCTCACTCGGGGCAATGGCATTACTGTGGCTGCAGGGCTTGAAATGGAATTTGGAAAGTTTTCTTCCATGAAAAGAATCTTCATACCCTCGCTCATCTACGCCAGCCCTGGGCAGAGGAAATCTCCCTCCACTCGAATTTTATTGAAGAAAAATCTCCTGACGCTGCTGCTATTGCGCAATCCTGCGCGGTCGCGAATGGGTTAAATACATTTACCCTTGCACATATTTATCGGCAATGAACGTGAAATTTCTATTTCTGATCACCAGATCAGCTACCACTTGATTGCTTTCTACAAGAAATGCTTTTCTGGATTTCTTCAATCTGAATCTGTGCTCGTAATCACTATAAAATTTACTCCAAAATCCTACTTTTACAGCTGGTTGTGCGGTTGTTACATCACTGATGTGTGCAGTAGCGGGGTGGTCCATTATAGATTTTTGACACTTCAATGCAGTCCTGATCTCGATTTCTGTCACATTTTTTACACTCATAGTTCTTCTCACTTTTGCTAACGTTATTTAAACAAAGCCCGAACTACTCCCGAGTCAAAGAAAAATGGATATAGGTGTAATTAGAGAATGATTGTTGAATATTTCCTTCAAATTTTCTAGTACCTTCCTCTCCAATGTAGGCGATAGTAGTAGAAGGAAAAGCGAATTCTTTTAAACTTCATGAAATATCGATTGATTGTGCTGCAACGGACGACAATTTAGGCGCAAATGCCGAGTGTGTTCAAGAATTTCAAATTCACAAAAATGGATATGGGTGATATACCGTGTCGGGTAGGAGGAATCAAGGTAGGTTTAGCAGTTCAAGAGAGAATGTTGACCTTACTTATTATGGTTGTCTACTTCTGGATTTGGTTTCAGGTCTACACGACAAACGTCGGTCGAGATAGGATCATCGTCGATATGGATGTTGCGTATGCAGGTGATGCCGACTTCACTGTATCGTGTTGTGGATTCACTGGTGGGATGAATAACATTCAGGTAGTATTTTGAATTGTATGCTAATTAAGAATTGTGCGATTTCTGGAGAAAATATAAGGCCGATCAAATCAATCTCAGGTTAGCGTGAGAGATATCTAGGGGGGGCCAAAAAAAGACATTTTGCCCATGTCGCACTTCGGCCTTTTTTTCTTCGCAGAGATTGCCGTCGTTGACGGAAGTTCCTCAGCAAAATATTCCCTAAATGTCCCTATAAGTACACGCAGGCCCTCCTTCACTGCCCTCACCGTCTTCAGAATATGACGTCATCTGTCACCGTCGTCGAGCTCAGGGAGGCCTACAGTAACTGCTTCAGCCTGAAGCTCTTACATAATTTCTTGGATCGATTCAAAGTGGATAGTTTCTCTAGATCGATTCAACGTGGGATAGTTTCCTAGGGACATTAGCTCTAACTATGCAAACCCCCTCGGAACCCCGCCCTTCGGAACCCGTCGTAACGGTACACGATCAGTCGAGAACCTCCCATTGAGCTCGACCAGAGCACCATGTTTCCAGGGACCAAACTGTTTCTAATTCGCCCGGTTCAGGTAGACATCACCTATGAAGATTTTCCTTTATTGAAATGTAATGCGCTCTTCTGATTCTGCGTTGTTAGCAGCCGAGGTCCTTTGGAAGCTGAAGCAAAGTGTGATTCGAATCCATTTGAAGTCGAAGACCAAAATTGTTCTTTTTTTTTTATTGCGTCCCGCCCCCAGCCCTCGCTCGTATATTAGCATCTCAATTTCGCCATAAAGCGCTTTTAGTAAACTCCTTTCCCATGAATTTAAGATAAACAATCACATAGGTGTATTTCACGTCGAAGAAATACGTTCAGAATTGTGAGATGAAGCGCCGTTGCATAATTCAATTCATTCACACATACATTCATACGGTGCTTCTATTTATTTTACTTGAGGGTTAGCCAAGCCCACAATGTCGAGATCATCAAAGGCACGGCTCTCGATTGGTTTGGTGTGTTATTTCGTTTGGAAATCGGGCAAAAAGTCTGAAGCGAGGTGCTACTAAAGAAATAAGCAAATACCACCATAAAAACACTGAAAGTTTTCTCGTGTGGTCAACCGGTACGAATAAGAGAAAGAGTTTCGCGAGTACAAGGAAAACGCAAAGGAGCACATAGTGCGCGCAAGAGCGCTGACACCATATATGCTGCGATTGACAGGAATAGCAGCGGTTGCAGCGGTCGAGCAAATGCAAGCATTGCTCCCTTGTTCCGCACTTTTGAGCTTGCGACAGTATCGCCACCCATGCTACCTCAATTAATGAAAGAATTTCTCCACAGATCTGGTCCGCGACCCGTGCCTTTGATGCAGTAGAATGCTCTAAATGTATAGAAAGATTGAGAAAAAGAATAGAAAAGAATGGAATGAAATGGAAGACCAATAAGAAAAAGTGTAATGTGAGGTCTGGCAGCGCCGATGCGTTCGTTTTGCGATGGCATTTCTGAGCGCGAAACGAGTGCATGGTGCAATCCTGAACGTGTTTTGAGCCCCTGAAATACAATACATATGAGTTTTCCATTCGATTTTCTGCTGGATTTCCTTCCTATTTTTAGTTTTCTGGAAAGCTCGGGCTGTCCTGAAGCCATTGCTGCCCTACCCACCAATGGTTGGAGGTGTTTCGGGCTCTTTCCTTGAAATGCCGGTCAGTTTTGATTCATCGATTATTTTCACTGATAGTTAGTTACTTTGATCAAGAACTACTAATTGTTTCAGAAAATTGATTTCAACCTGACCGGAATGGGTGAAATGGTTGAATTACCTGGACTGATGAATGCTATTCGAAGTGTTATGAATAGTCAGGTTGGTAGACTGTTTTTTCACAGAATGGCTTTTGTCCATATCTGACGAACAAGCGCTGCTCCGCAAAGTTTTTCTTCGTTTCGTTAGATTTGCTTCAAGCAACAATCCCAGGTGGGGTAACAGCGGTCAATAATAATACCAAGTGAACTGAATAGGAAAAAAGAGCTGACACCTATTTACTAGTGTGCCCTCTTTTCCTTGCAATAGGGCAGCGGCGGAACTCAGCGAGCTTTCTGAATTTGCTTGCTTCACGGCTCCACTAACAGCATTTGACGGCGTAATCCGCTGCGTATCAAGGGGTATGCAAAAGGTATCGGTGTCGTCCATTAGCTCAGCTTAGCACCATAGTAGATGCTCATAAAGCCCGTAGTGCCCGATTGTCATGCATCCCGGAGCCGCGACAACGGCACGTCTGTGATATTCGTGGGCTACTCTATTCCACTCACAGAGTAGATTCTTTGACACATCCCATCTGGGATTGTTGCTTTCATCAGAAAGAGAAAACTTCAAGGAATAAATGAGTATTGATTGTGTTCTATATATCCTTATTGGTAGGTTCCGCTTTCTGCCATAAAAACGAATGAGTCGCTCTTAAATGCACAAAACATTCAGCTGGAAATTCTGTTATCGATTATGCCGCTGACTTCGTTTGTGCTGTTTTGTCCTTTCCGTGTCGAGTGTAATACTCTTATGCTCTCGCGCAGAATGATGTAATATGTAGCCGATGGAATTTTGACAACCCACTAAGAACTGGTAAACCGGAAGACTCGTGTTTTGCAGCATGAGCGTTGGTCGTGGAAACACTCGCAACGGTGTATAAAACTCCTCGTGAGCTCACAATCAGTCCATGTGTCGTTCCACATATTGTTGGCAGTCGAAGCAGGAAGGGCAATGTATGAGGAGGGCGATGAAAGGGGGAGGAGCACTAAACGCCAACATAACGGTCCAATCAAATGCTGAGTTATTTGATGGGATGAAATGTTTGAATGTAATAGCGCCATCTACGGAAGCACCTTTTTTGTGCGTATGCATCCCCTAAACGAGGTGCCACAAGTGGAAGAAAAGACAGCGGAGTGCGTAACAGTTGCGCCTCTCGTAAATGCGACGCTTGTCGAGGAAAACGTCTGTGTGATATGATTTTCAGTCCAGTAGATATTGGCTCATATAATCTGTTAAGTGTACCAGCGGCTTTGTGTTTACCAATGAATCGTCGTGTCCTATTGGCTCCAAATGTCTGACGTCACGAAATTATTCTGAACCCTGAACCGGGACGTGAGTGCACCCGGCTTAACCTAATCTGGTCCTTAACCAGGATTATGTGCTTCTTTCAGGGCGTGATCCGTTTGAAAATTATCGAAGCGAAAAATCTAAAATTCGAGAATAGAGACATTTCCTTTATCCGTAAAGGAAAGAGTGATCCGTACTGCGAAATTCAAGGGTAGGTGAACCTTCCAACGCTTTTGAAATCTTTCAATTTCAACTTGATTTTCAGTTGGATCACAGTTTTTGAAGACTCGTACCATTGACAACGATTTGAATCCGGTATGGAATGAGTACTTCGAGGCAGTTGTTGATCAGGTAATCTTGAAGTTTAAAGCAGCGAAAGGATAGGTCCAGTCAGCTACTGATAGCGTGAAAATGGCCTAATTCCGAATATTTACATACGATTTCTTTTGCTGGTCACAGCCTTCCCTTAATTTCTGTTTGTAGGCTCACGGACAGAAACTGAGGATAGAACTATTCGATGAGGATCAGGGTCAAGATGAGGAGCTCGGACGTTTGAGCATCGACCTGAAGGATTTCAGGCTAAAAGGAAGTCGTGAAAATGTGGTGATATCTGTTCCCGAGCATTCATAGCTCAAGCTCGCCTTATTAGTGCTAGATGTTCAAACAACGTAATGGATTCCTCGTACAGCCTTTACGCTTGATCGGCCTCCGCTGACGATGACATTCGCAAGTTGCGCAGAACGTTAACTATGTAGGCTTCGATCAAGGAAAAGCTTCCATGTGGAATGGTTCCGAGCCGAGACTCGTTGCATCCGTTAAGTCTGGAAGTCAGGTGAAACTGATGATTAAGGCAAAATTTTAAATTTTTTGGATCTGCAACTCCTCTTGGAGTTCCATCTCTAATGTATATTAGCCGCTCAGCAACTTGGCACCGACTTTCTTTGGATTTCTTGCGATTTATTCTTTATCTTGTGATTTCAAAAGGTCTAGGGACTCTTACGCGTTCCAGGCTCGTTATTCTCGTATTAAGGTTTTTATAAATTCTCAGTTTGCATGTTTCTTAATATTTCGTCGTTATGTAGTATTCCTTATCCCATAGGTGAGTGTGAACCTATGTAAAATGCCATGAATAATCTAAGCTAGCGATCGAGCGTGCCCCAGTAGCGTAAACTTAATAGCGTATTTGCCGCCGTAAGCGAAGGTTCGTGTTCGAATACCTGCTGAAAAGAATGTTTTTTTGCATACCCAGCATATCTGAGTACGTCGTTGAGGCGGATGCGAACAAAAGAACAAATAAACAATCAAATCAACCTCAAAGTCTCTAATAGTACCGATCATCCTTTTTATCGCTTTCTCATGTCCTCGGTGCTATACTTTCCAGTGGTTCTCTGGAAGGATGTAAGCATGGGACTATCCTTTAAAGGCCGTTCGTGGATGAATTTATCGAAAGATCGCAGTCATCTGGAGAAGCAACAGTGGGGAAGCTGAATGGCTCCAAGCTGACAAACCCGATTCATCCGGCACTTTTGATGGTCTTCGTCGATTCGGTGTCCGATCTACCTGTGAGTATCTGAAAATGTATTCATTGGACTTGTTCAAAACTTGTGTTTTCAGTACCCAAAGGCAAAACTTGAACCGTCACCATTCGTTGAAGTGACACTCGGGGCGAACGCACAGCGTACTCCAGTTAAGGTACGTCTCCTAAATTGTTCATAAAGGATACCGTCGGTGAATGGATATAATTTTTGCTACACTGCAGACCTATCTTTTCCTACACTAGTACAGTTCATGAATGAGGTTCCCTTTTGGAAGTTTTGTGGAAGTCTGTATGAACCGTCCATTTGAAAAGTTTGAAATTTTGTCTGTTATTGTGTTAACAGACAACCCATTCTCCGCCTCCCTTATCACCAAACATTTCAGGTAGATAATATGTAGGCCCAGTTTCAGGTAAGATGCAAGGAGCATGGGAGTGGCACAGTTGAGGGCAGATTTGCATAAAGCTGATGGAGCGGGGTCGTATCAGCCTTGTCTTCGGGGATCGTGTTCGCTAATTTCTCTCACAACCTGCTAAAACTTTTTTTTTGAATATACAGCAGAATTAACTTCAAGCGGCCTCCTTATAGGTGAAAACTGTCAACCCCCTCTATCAGTCGAAGTTCCTGTTCTTTGTCAGGCATCCCGAGGGCCAGGAACTCAAATTTGAGGTAAGTGTTACCACCGTTGCATTGAATAATTTCTTTTTCTGATTTTTCTTATTTGCTTTCCTCAAAAAACCATTAGATGTAAAGCTGTTGATAAATGAGATTATACATCTGAGCTTTTTCGCACTTAACATTACATTTCCCGAAAGGCACGGGTCGCAATCCTCTAGAGCATTTCTCTCACTGAGTGGTAGCGAGCCTCTAAAGGAAGGACGATGGGGTGTCAGCGTACTTGCAGTGCCCCGACAAATGACACCAAGACTGTCTGACCCTGCAACCCTGCTATTGTCTGACACTCGAGTCATAACGCGATTCTGCTTCATACACTCTTCTGCGACCTTGCCCTGATAGTTTCTCTGTCCTCTGTGGTCGCGTCGACCTTTACAGGATGACGAGTTCGACAAACTCAGTGACAGTGTTTTCTATGGCTTATTTTTTCCACTGACGGTCCTCTTTGCTTGTCTTTTTCCAATTTCGAGCGGAATAACTCATCAATTCGACCGCGACCTCTGCCTTAAATACGCAAGAGAATCCCTTTGGGAGACAAAAAAAGCATGCAATATTCTGCATTGCCTGGGTTAATTGATCGCTCTGATTTGTTGAACAGTGCGTGGTGTCTCTTTAGAGGATCGACTGAGATATTTGTGCAGCACGATATCGTTGCGATGATAATGGCTTAATGGCAGATTATACTTGGGCAAGCCGTGGCTCTGAGTTTCGGCAAATATTCAGCAACTAGATATGTACTATCGACGATCACTGGCGGCCATTCCACGGAATGTCATTGAACACTACATTGAAGGACCCCGCAAATGGAGTTTAATCAAGCACACGTTAGCTCGCCCTTGGAGTACATCAGAGTCCAATAGTGGTCACCGTCAGACTCAGAGTACGTTTTCCGTTTATTATTAATAGAAAGATACGGGTTTGCGGGCTTCTGGAAGATTCCAAGTTCCCCCTAATTCACCTGACGATCCGATATTAACCCTTCGAAAGCAACCCCACTAATAGTATTTGGTTTCTTGTCTTACCAGAGCATTAACACAGACTGCGGCTTCTCAGATTAAAAATATAACGTAATAAATTTGCAAGGATTGATCTCACTAATTAGGCTTGCTGATCAATGACAAGACCATAACTTACTTTTGCATCGCAGGGTTGATGGTTGAATATTTGAAAACGCTACATATGATGATACATACTTACGAAAGAGGCCCTCTCTATAGAATCATAGAACCCGAACTCTGGAAGATAATCAGTGCGGGCGCTTGTCGCGTCGTGTTCTCTATGAACATTTCATCCATCAGCTTCTCGAGCATAAAAGTGCTAACTGTATGGCTTATCACTGATGAATATAAGAAAAGCAGGTAGACCTAAAATAAATTAAGTACTTTGTCAATGGAGCACGGATCTTGCAAAAGGATGTGACTTTCAACGCTGTGAATCGGGTCCCGCTGCCAATAACATTGTCCCAATCACAGAATATTCTTTTCCTGGATCACTTACTTCAGATTTGCGATGGCATATTAACCAGGCAGGGGCAAGAGGAAGACGATAATGGAGAGTACTTACAAGGGAGGTCGTTTAGGGTGTGCCAAGTTTATTCAAAATGGTTTCTTGCATGACATTGGGGCACATATGGGGACCACAGAACATGTTCAATTTTCCTGAACGGCCCTCTGAATACCAGAAAAGGGGTCCCTAGTTCGATTCCTCGTGGTGACAAATTTTTGCATTTCGAGTTGACGTTTCAAAATTCGCGCAAAATGGAGTTAGCATGAATAATTAGTACCAAATTCATGATTAGGAACGTCAGTAACCCTTACAAATAGACTTTGATTGAAAAACTGGTGAAAAAGGTGTGACTAGGGACCCCCTTTTCTGGTATTCAGAGGGCCGTTCAGGAAAAATTAACCATGGTTCTGTGGTTCCCGCATGTGCCTCTATATCATGCAAAAGACCGTTTTGAAAAAGCTTGGCACACCCTGAACGACCTCTCTCTGCTGTCACTGTGATCAAAACGCTATCGCCTTGTGTAGTATGAGGAAGAGTGAAGGGAAAAATGCAAATATTAGGGGAAACGGCGAGGCCTTCGTTAATAATTCGTGCAAGAATTTCCCAAGCATGGGGGAATGCATTTACTGAAATGTATATGATGCCCCACCGTACATATATATTAACAATAAATAAAACCTAATACGCGAACGATATGTGTAGGGCTGTAGCTCGTCACATCAGGCTGCTAGTCACTACTTACCTTCACTGTTCTCTCGGAGGCGGAGTGCTAGACACAGTTTCAGGACTCGTCTCCGGGTAGTTTTGGCTAATTCTTTTCCAGTACATATTCAGTTTTGATCCCTGACCAGGAAGGTCTTTCAGGGCGTGACGAGCTTTTTGAAAACGGTCTTTTGCATGATATAGGGGCAGATGCGGGAACCACAGAACCATGTTTAATTTTTCCTGAACGGCCCTCTGAATACCAGAAAAGGGGTCCCTAGTTCGATTCCTCTTGGTGACAAATTTTTGCATTTCGAGTTGACGTTCCAAAATTCGCGCAAATGGGTGAGAATCTGATTTCTTCTGGTTGGTTTTAACTCCATTTGGTCGCGGAATTTTGGAACGCTTACAACTGGAACGTCAACTCGAAATGCAAAAATTTGTCACCAAGAGGAATCGAACTAGGGACCTCCTTTTCTGGTATTCAGAGGGCCGTTCAGGAAAAATTGAACATGGTTCTGTGGTTCCCGCATCTGCCCCTATATCATGCAAAAGACCGTTTTCAAAAAGCTTGTCACGCCCTGAAAGACCTTCCTGGTGGTCTTTGTTCCGAAGCTTGTGCAACGCACCAACATCCGATGGGGACGTTTTAGCGGGATAATGCGCCTCTCTGTTGTCATTTTAAATATAATATCATAATACTTTTGCCAGCACCTGTGGCTCAGATATCGGAACGGTTTAGGTAATTGAATTGGCTAAAAACCCAAAGCTACCGTTAGCCAGTGAACGACGATCGAATTTAGTATTCGTGACCAGAAGGCCAATCAATTTTCAGGGACAGTTTTCTAGCCAATTTGAGATTTTGTGTGCAACATGAAAAGGGGGCAGTGAAGAGTAAGCAGTGCCGATTTTTGTGATGTGATTTTTGGTGGTTGAGTTGAGAATGCTTTCGAAGTGGCTTCTATGGTTTTCTTTTGCCCAGTCTCTATCCCTAACAGTTTGACTTCTTTACTAACTACAATAAAATTAGTACGTCGTCGTTAATACAGCTCCTAGCTACAATGGCTCATTGCAACCATGGCAAGTTCGAATCGTGTAGTATCCACAGCGCTACTGGCTTTTTTGTGAGCGCTAGTGAAGTGTTCGGGAATTCTGCATGTCTTACCGTTTAAGAGCTGTTTCACCACGCTAAACAAAAAGAATCTCACCTCACCAAAAACTCCATCTTATAAGAGGTAACAAGAATTATGCTCTACGGTAATGAGATGCTCTGAGATTAACCTAATTTGTAAATTACATGCATTAACCAGCAGCTTTCTAGCTCGTGCCACAACGCTAAACTTAGAGAAGGCCGACGAAGTAACATAGAGCTTCTGGGTCGTAGAGTAGATCTGCTAAATGGTGACGCCACGGCAGAGATCAAGTGAAGATTTGTTGTGGTAGATTGCTTCGATTTTACTGAATTTTTGGCTTTACATTTGCTTAACTCTGCTTCGGGTACTCAGCGTTGGCTTTTATAGAGCTTCGCATTTGGGTCCTGCTTGGTTCTAGTCATCGGTGCTACAATTGATATAGTCACTTATTTTTCAGCTTTGTAATATATATTTTTGAAGAGCTTTATTTATTTTTTTTTATGTTGGAGAAGCACGTTCGGCGACACATAAGCTTATTTTCAAATGTGATTCCTTAATAGGTGAAATGATAAACATTCGGCTCCAATCAGCCTATTCTTTGTGGTATGCGCCATGCAATCGTCTTCCATTCAATCGTAGTAACAATTGAATGCGATGTGGCCTGTACAGTTACTTACGTGGGATTGTTTGGAGGACAAGTCAGTGTTTCAATCTCTCTAGGCAACTCCATTTGCGCATTTGCGAATAGCTAAATAGCTGACACCCGTACCGGCGAATCGAAACTCTTGTTTGAGTTGGTGAGGTTCAAGACGGGATTGCCCCCCCCCCCTCCGATCCCGACAATAAAGGGTGCTCTTCTGCTAACACGCCTATGCTATGCTTCACAAATTGTTGCTCAGAATAACGCTGATAGAGAAAATGTAGCAATTAAGGCTGAGTGTGCAAAGATGAAAATGGAGTTAGAGGGGGCCACTCCATTGTGCTATACAATACTAAAGATAGGAATAAGAGTGATCATGACACGTAATCACTCATTTAAAGTAAACTTCTGATGGGTAATCGTATGGCGTGGGAGTACACCTAAGGTACTTCTACAATTCAGCTTTGCTTCTAATGGTTCAAGGGTTATGGTCCAAGCTGGTAAAATGGACATCTTTCCTGGGCCTAAGGCTGGAAGAGCGCCATAGTGGACGACCATGTACAGATTAGTGCATAAGCGTGGGCACAATGTGTAGGATGTAGGACAGCGATCAGCGGTACTTCTCAAGTGTACGCTTTACATGAGTCCGCATATTATCTGATCGTTAGTATTAGAGGGCTTAAAAGAGAGCTCTCTGGTACTAAGGATGAGATAGCAGGAGTGCCCCTCCCGAATTCCATTTTCACCGTATGTCAACATCGAGCCATGAACTGTTAAATAATTACATTTCAAAAAAGTTGTATGTGTCGCCGAACTTTTGGGTCAGCCTATTAGCTCCTGGCTTGGTAGTAGCTTTAGCAGCTCTGACAGCTTTACTTTTAGTTTTGTGTATTTGGTCGCGTTTAATAAATTTTGTTTTTCAAAAAATGAGTCACAATTAAAGATTCTATCAAAGCATTAGCAGTGTTTCATAGTATGCTTGCAAAAATGAATGCTTCAGTCCAAAAAAGGCTCGCTAAAATTTTATGTCGCTGGCTGCAGTAGTCGGTATATCTTACCCTGGAAGATCTGTGGTCGTAGTGTGGTTTTCTAAGCAAACGCAAAATTATAATAAGTTAAAAAAACACATCACAAACACAGTTGAGCAAATTTGGCTGCTGACGCTAATAATACTAGATATTAAAGAAGGAGCCCAGGATAAGGTCGAAGGAGGTGAAACTTACCTAGTGAAAAGGCAGGCGGGCCTCCTAATCATAAGGGTGCAGACCGACATGCAGGGAGCGAAGGATATCCCTCCGGCGATCTAGCAAGGCTTTCGCTCTGGCAACGAAAAACCTCTGAAACGGTTTTCTCTTAATTGGCTCGGAACGCCCACCGACTATCTAATCACTCGCGCAGGTCTATACGTGGCGAGTGATTAGATAGCAGAGAGAGCGTAGCGTTGAAGAGGGCACAGCGATGAGAGTCGCATCAATGCGGAAATCAACGGGCAAGGAAGGGGTCCCATTTCTCGGGTTCCGGGCCGTTTCACATGGTTGCTTCTTCATCCCTTATTTTCTATGAACCACCTTTTCATAATGAAAATCCGGCTTCAAGGAGAGAAAGCGATCGTAGAGAACAGATGCGGCTTGAAAGACACGAGCGGACAACAGTAATACATTTGTGACGAAGCATCAAACAGATTACAACATGACTTCTCACAGACCAGACAGACGAGACCTCTGTCTGCGTTGGTACATGGCCGTGCGTTATATGTAGATTGGTGGCATAAAGCTTGTTCCATGCTTTTCTTCAATTCATCGGTGTTTTGATGATGCTTGCGATTAGAGCAGGTCATTGTCTTCAGCATAATCCATGCAGAACAACTTATTCGGTTCAGATTGGGAGAATTACGTTGTCTTTCGCTCATTGTCGGAAACTACGGTAACTGCGCTTTGTATGCAGGCGGTCTATCCGGAATACCCTGTGATTTTCCTCACAGATCTTTTTAGCCAGATGCTCACTCTATTAAGTTTGAAGGAGGTCAGGCTGGTTCGGGAGCGCTCTTTTACCATTCTTTTGGCCCACCCTGTAGTGTGTCAACTTACAAGGGGGTCTTTCAGGGCAAGCCACGCTTTTTCAAAACGGTTTCTGCATATTGTAGGGACGCATGTAGGGAACACAAAACCATGTTTCATTTTCGCAGTACCAAAAAAGAAGCATAAGGTACTGTTAATGGTTCGATCCCCCGTGGCGACTAAATTTTGCATTTGGGTTGGCGCCTACGGTTTGGTGCCAAATCGCGCTAAATATCAAAATCAGATGTCAAATTCATCGTCAGGACCATTTTGAAGCCAACAAGTGGCCGCCAACCTTGATTGCAAAATTTAGTCGCCGCGGGGGATCGAACCATCAAGGTATCATTCACCACTTTTTTGGTACTACTAAAACCGTTCAGCGAAAACGAAACATGGTTTTGTGGTCCATACATGCGTCCCTACAATATGCAAGAAACCGTTTCCAAAAAGCGCGGCTTGCCCTGAAAGACCCCCCTTGTAAAATAGTCCTGGTCTTCAGAGTTTCTCGAGCGGGTCTCAGCAGTGCTGCACCGTCGCGTGCCGATACTTTTGGTGGGTTTTTATCGCTGGAAGATACGAGAAACCTCTTATTGTACTCTGTTCATCATATGTCCTGTCAAGGGGAAGTCTAACCAGCTGGTTTTTCCTCATGTTTTTCAATGTTGTGGGTGATCCAATGGACGATCATCGTTGTATAGCAGTCATCGCATGATGTCTTTGGGCCTCGATTCCTTGAAAAAAAAGCGGCGTTCATAGCCCTTGATAGTGAAATTTCGTTCTTCTGGGATTCCTTTTGAAGGTGCGCGTACTAGGATTCTCGACGCGTAGTATCTTCCACAGTGCGTAGAATAACCTGGCTACATGCCCATACTGGCTACCTTACATATAATTGCATCCAGGAATTCCATGGCGTCACATAATGTCCATGTTGAGCGATGACAACACACTGCATCGAGCGATTCAGTGACGCTACAGCCAACATTAAAAGGAATCCTTTTTGGAAAATTCTTGCATTCTTTCCAACATGATATGTCAGTTGTGATCACTGGAAACAGCACACAAAGTTTCACGCATGAAGATTCGGTTTCCGAAGAGAAACAAACGTACAAAAACTACACTTATGGACAATCGAAGGTAAGTGGGGCGGAGCCAAAGGCGGGGCATGGAAAGAAGTCCGCCTTGGGGCGGCTACGTATCAGGCGACGCAATGAAAGAATCGGGTTAAAGCGTGCGATTTTGGAGAGTAGAGACAAATCGATCGATAGAATAGGATGCAGTAGAAGTGTGAGATGTGAATGCAATAAGTCAAAAGGCCAGAAAGAGTTTCTAGTGACGGCACTCCAAGAACCAAGTGGAAGCATTCCGTCGCCAGCATTTGTGACAGATGTCCGGCGGTACTTTGAACGCGTAGCAGCCTTTCGGTTTTTCGAATTTTTACCAAAACAAACAATTTTTTGTTCTTTTCGTTCTTATCGTGAACGATGGGTCCCAAGCCAGTGAATTATGGGTGAGATAGAATCACGATTTTTCCGAGGATTCCTTTGAGGACGCTATTGTGAGATGCTGTTGCATCTCCTTGAGAACGCGACATCTCCCACTAGCACTTCAAATTTCACGTTCTACTTGGGTGCAGCGGGATTCTGCGGGTTGCACCTCGCGTCAGATCTGTAGTGTGCGGGATACGTATTATATACGCAGAAAAATCAGCACCTGTGTTAGGTCTGAAAATTTGGATTGTAGCATGGTGAAGTCGCGTGCCATGATGTGACGTGCATATTCGTTACGGTGCAGCAATGGGAGGTTTGGTGATAAGACTCGGCTGTGATACTCCTTGATAGTCGAGGATATCAAGTGAAAGTAGTTCGTAGAGCGACAGTAGGCAATGTAAAGGGACTGGAGAGGCAGAAGGCTTACCAAGCGTCTCGAATAATTTTTTATTTAATTAGATATAATCTGAATCATCTCGATTGGCTAACATGTAGGACATGTGGAACATGTGGGATTCATGAGGTCGTCGCGATGTGAAATGCTACCCATGTGGGGGACCACTCCCATCGGCTCCAATGGACGCCCACCCTTTTGCGGCTGTCCCGTGCCTTCTCATTGTATTGTGGTGTTGCGTGAGATAAATAATTGTGAATTCTTCACTTGTTTAAGGCATTAACTAAAGGCAAACGTGACAAAAGTGCAATCGATGACAGGCTCATGGAATATGCAAATGGTCAGTGGGATTTTGTGTTTCCTTTTCTTTTTTGTTTTGCCAGTTTTTCACAACTAAAACTTCTCTCCGACAAAATATTATCAAGACTTTTCCTTTCTGTTTGCATACTATTTTCTTTTCGAACCATTCTGCCTTTAGCCAGTCACATCGAAAGAGCGAATCGAAATCAGGACAATGAAGTGAAGGGGAAAAGTGAAAAGATGAATGGAGACTCAGTGGCCGTTGAGCCAGCAAAGACCGTGAATCCGTCAGCGGGAAAACTCGATCCTGAAATGAAGCTCAACGTGGAAGATATTTCGGTAGGATTTTCTCTTTTCATTAAATTGTATTAGGTTGTCCCATAATTAGTGAATCACTTTGGGTATTTTTGAATTTTAATTTTTTTTTTCATATGAAGTCTTGCTCATCCAAACATACACCTCTGTCATCTACAATGTATTGCCTATACATGGAAATTTAGTCGCTGTCTTTTCTCTAGAATTCCAGGAGCTATTGATCAAAGAAAGATCGGAAGTCGGGTTTGAGGTCATGTCACTTAGCGTAAAATTTCTTCCTGAAGAAGAGTGCTATAAGTCAGACTAGGTTGTCTTTCGCTGGTACGAGGGTAGGGCTACACGGTAGAATCTGCTAGCCTGAAAGGTCTCCAATTTTTTATGAATATTTTCGGGGCCGAATGACCTCAGAAAAATGTCTTGCTTTACCTTCAGATAGAACGCGTCGCCATTATGCTGTCGACGTTTGCCTTCTTCACTGACCCTAGTATTACTGGGCGGCGGTTCCCAGCGCAAGGTCCTTTCGTGCTCCACCAATATCTCAGAAGTGTCGGACTAGAGGAGGTTGGGCTTTTGCTGTCAGAACTCCCGAATCTTTTAAGCTAGGCTACTGCTCCTTGTGAATTTGCTAGCACACTCCACCCAGTTCACAACACTGGTGAGTACGCAGGATGATCACTGAAAGAACTCTGGGAAGCCAGAGGGAACATGGCGATTTCATATCGTGTTTGGGGAAAGATTTCAGAAAAATTGAAGTTTGAGCCTCGGAAAATGTGAATGGGCTGTCCAATTGTTAGGTTGTCATACCTTCAATACCGCGTTAGTCTCGTACAGTCGCAGGATCCGCTACAGGATACAGACATTGTGGGAGATTATTGATTGACTATTCAGATGCTTCGATCAGACTCAGTGAATTCCATCAACACAAGCTCTGGACGATCAAGTCGACTTGGCAGGGTGTTCCATGCACGGCATGCGAAATCGTCTAAGAATCGGTGAGTCCACTTTATCGGAGTACATTTGGGTTACTTTCTTTT